TCTTCCTCCTCCTTCTCCGCCTCCTCGTCTTCCTCCTCCTCCTCTACTTCCTCATCCTGTTCTTCTCCCTCCACTTGTACTTCCTCCTCCTTTGTCAGCTCTTCCTCCTCCACTTCCACTTCCTCCCCTTTCTCTTTCTCCTCCTCCTCCTCTACCTTCCCCTCTTGTTGGTCGTTCTGGAGCATGGGGTGGATCTTCCGGCTCCACATCCTTGGTCTAGGGCGTTCTTGTAGGGGGAGATGTTTTCCTTCCACCAACAGTTGTGTTCCGTCTTCGAATGTATTGGGCAATGGAACCACTTGGTTCCTTCTCCATAACCGCAACAGTCCTTGAGGCATGACTGTAAAGAAAACGACAAGAAGAGAGTTAGCAAGGGTATATAGATATTCTATGAAGGAAAACAAAGAACTTTACTATTTTGTGAAATATCCTTACCTCAGTTGGGAGTGTGTTACATGGGGGGGGGGGGGGGCTGTCTCTCGTCCCTGCCAGGCGCATTTGTGCTGTTGACGGGAGCGAGAGCAGGGCCTCCCCGGATGATCTTAGGTTTCGAGGTGGGACGTAGGGGTGGATGCGTTCGGACAAGTAAGCTGGGCCAGAACTGTATAGAGCTTTATGGGTCAGAACCAGCAGGAATAGTTACAGGAATAGTGGTCGAATAATGATTCCTGTGTATCAGGCATGTAGCCAGAAATTCTCATGGTGGTTCGCGAAAAGGCCTTACTGGTGCATTATTTAAACTGTTATGTTTATTCATATCATGATCTGATAACCATACTCAATATATCCCATATGCATGGGGGTATTGGGGTAATGATACAAAAGGTTTGCTAGGCTAGACCCTCTTTCACTCAGACTCAGCCCCCCCCGAAACTCAGCCCCCCCGAAACCCCCCCTGAAAAAAATTCAGCCCCCCCCCCCCCGAAACGAAATCCTGGCTACGGGCCTGCTGTGTATATTCCACCTCTCACGTCCCCTTGCTACAGACCGGAAATGTGGGTGCAGTGAGAGCCCATGATTCCGGAAGTCTCACTCCTCCCCCCATGTGCTGTGCTTCTTCTGTTGGGGGGCTTTCACGCCAGGCTCAGCTCTTCACTTGGGGCCCTTGCGACCTCTCTAGAAATAAGCATCATTATTGTTTGAAACACAACAAGAGGAGTCCACAGCAGACAAGGTCACTCTGCTGGCTGTTGTATTGGATCACACGTCGGATCCTTCCCAAGTGTCTAGGACTGTGTGAGGTATTGGCGAAGAAAGAGTGCAGATCCCAGTAGGATGGCCTTCTGCAGCTGGCAGATGGTAATTTTGTCAGTGCCGATTGTGTTTAAGTGCAGGCTAAGGTCTTGAGGCACTGCGCCCAGTGTGCCCATCTCCACTGGGACCCCCTTGACTGTCTCGTGCCAGAGTCTTTGCAGTTCGATCTTCAAATCCTGATATCGTGTCAGCTTTTCCAGTTGTTTCTCTTCAATCCTGCTGTCACCTGGGATTGCAACATCGACAACCCATACTTTGTTTTCCAACACAATTGTGAGGTCAGGGGTATCATGCTCCAAAACTCTGTCTGTCTGAATCCAGAAGTCCCAGAGTAGCTTGACGTGTACATTTTCTGTGACTTTTTCCGGCTTGGGATCCCACCAGTTCTTTGTGGCAGGCAGATGGTGTTTGTAGCACAGGTTCCAATGCATCATCTGAGCAACGGTGTTGTGCCTCTGCTTGGAGTCTGTCTGTGTAATCTTCTTGCAGCACCTGAGGATGGGATCTATTGTTTCGCCTGCTTCCTTGCAGAGTCTACACTTGGATCTGTCGTCGACTTTTCAATTCTGGCTTGATGGCCTTGGTTCCAATGTCTTGTTCTTGGGCTGTCAGAATCAGGCCCTCCTTTGCCGCCTTTTTCCAAGTTCCATTTGTGAGCCACAGCCATGTTTTTTCTTTGTCAATTTCTCTGACAGTTTCCGGGCCGTCTTCAAGGGTAGCCCCACGTAGAGTGCAGTGCAGTAGTCAAATCTAGAGGCAACTAAGGCATGGACCACCGTGGTCAAGTCCGACTTCACGTGGTAGCGTCGCAGTTGGCGCACGGGTTTAAATTGTGCGAAAGCCCTCCCGGCCACCGCCGACACCTGCGCATCAAGCATCAGCGCTGAATGATCTACCATTGTTTGCCCCTTCGTCCCCCCCAAAGAATTACATTACTCCGAGTATAGACAGTCCTGAAAAGCGGCCAGACTGGCCCCCAACAACTGTACAGGAAATCAAGAGCATAATTTATTTATTTATTTATTTATTTATTTATACGCTTGTATACCGCTAATATCTCAGCTGAGATACGTTCGGATAGATAAGTTGATAGATAATTCAAAGCCTACATAACAGGAAAGATCCCGGAGAAGGCTTCTTACCCCCAGAGCTATTTACGTCCAACCCTGACTGGTCCCCCCCCCCCCATAGCAGGCCTATGTCATAATGTCAACAACACTGCCAAAGAGGGATGATGTGTGGTTCTTGCCCCAACTTTATTCTCCATCTTCATCGCGATGAGACTTCCTCTTCTTGACGGGAAGCTTCCATGGCAATCTATTCAACCTCAGCAGACTGAAAGCCACAACCAAGGTCACAACAACATCTGTTATAGAACTCCGGTATGCTGATGACAACGTTTTTAACTTTGTGTGTTTTTTCCCCCAAATACATTACAACTGTACTGCTACTGTGTGTTTTGTTTGCCGGGGGAGTCATTTTTGCTCATGCGCTGTAGCGTCTCTATGCTTTTTTGTCTTTTTAAGTCCCTTCCGCTGTGTTTTTCAGTGTGTTTATGAGTGATGGTCACTCGTTGGCCCGAGAAGTGTCTTGTGTCCAAATTTGGTGTCAATTCGTCCAGTGATTTTTGAGTTATGTTAATCCCACAAACGAACATTACGTTTTTGTTTGTATAGATTATTATTATTATTATTATTATATTCAATACTGGCTTTTAAGTATGCTTTTGACCATTTTTCTTAATACCTTTGTCATGCTCCTATTTTGACGTTTGTTCGTTTTTTTGTGCTGCTTATTGACAGTAATTATTATTATTATTATTATTATTATTATTATTATTATTGTGTCTGTGTGTGTGTGTGTAAAGGTTTTCTCCTGTCATTAAGTCCAGTTGTGTCCAACTCTGGGGGTTGGTGTTCATCCATTTCTAAGCCGAAGAGCTGGCATTGTCCGTAGACACCTCCATGGTCATGTGGCCGGCGTGACTGCAAGGAGCGCCCCTAGCTTCCTGCTATATGTGTGTGTGTGTGTGTGTGTGTGTAAGGAGCACCCTTACCTTCCCGCCATACATATAAACCCCTGGTGACCCCCCTGGTGGCGTACCACTGAGCTGCTGCACTTCCTGATCCAAAGACCATTATCCGTGGTCCTGAAACGTCTTCTGCTCGTTCCTTCTGGACTCTTGGGTGTGGTTCACCTGGCCCTGGAGACTTGGATCCATTGAGAGTTGCCAGGTATTCCTGGACTACTCCTTTACTTATTTTGGGTCGCATTTCCGTATGAGCCCCCGGTGGCACAGCAGGTTAAGCTGCTGAACTTGCTGACCGAAAGGTTGGTGGTTCGAACCCAGGGTGCGGGGTGAGCTCCCGCTCTTAGCCCCAGCTTCTGTCAAGCTAGCAGTTGGAATATATGCAAATGCGAGTAGATCAATAGGTACCGCTTCCACGGGAAGGTAAGGGCGCTTCATGCAGTCCTGCCAGTGGCCACATGAGCTTGGGGGTGTCTACTGACAACGCTGGCTCTTTGGCCTAGAAATGGATACGAGCACCAGAGTCCCAGAGGGTGACACGACTGGACTTCCTGTCAAGGGAAACCTTGACCTTCCATCATGGATTTATGAGGTCTCCCTCCCCCCCCCCCCCCCCATAAGGAATAGGAGAGACTCACCTCGACACTAACACAAAGTCACCAGAAACAGCAAACGGAAGAACACAAATTTCACACCACCACCTTCCCTATCACTCGACAGGAAAGTGAGGTTCCAGAAGGATCGGCCTTCAGTCAGAAGCGCATCACAAGGGTCTCCCTAGGAAAGAGAATGCTGGGATGTGGCCGCTTTCTGATTGGCTGCCACTTTCACAGGCACGGGTGACGGACTTGGACCAAAATTGGCACGCATAACCCCCACGACCCCCTTTATGTCCTGGTGAGGTTTGGGGGAGAAAGGACAAAGGATGATGGGATTTGTAGTACCTTCAAACCCTTCAGTTCCCACAAAACACTGTGGCCCCCAACAAAGACCAATAAGTCCAAACTTGGCACACATCACCCCCCTGATCCCCTTTATGTCCTGGTGACATCGTGTATTAATCATAATAATAATAATAAAAACCAATAATTAGTTTTGAAAAATTCTAATTGTATTCTGAAATAATAGTATATTGTTAATAATAGACATTAATAATTTTGAAAACTCATAGCAATTGCATTCTGAAATAATAGTATATTATTATCATTATTATAAATAAAAACCAGTAATTAGTTTTGAAAAATTCTAATTGTATTCTGAAATAATAGTATATTGTTAATAATAAACATTGATACTTTTGAAAACTCATAGCAATTGCATTCTGAAATAATAACATATTATTATTAATTATTATTATTATTTCAGAATGTATATTATTATTAATAATAATAATAATAAAAACCAGTAATTAGTTTTGAAAAATTCTAATTGTATCCTGAAATAATAGTATATTGTTAATAATAGAGATTAATCATTTTGAAAACTCATAGCAATTGCATTCTGAAATAATAGTATATTTTTATTAATGAAAATGAAGAAAGAGTTTTGAGAAATCCTTCTAACTCTATTCTGAAATAATAGCCTAGGAATGTGTGGACGTCTCGCGAGAGCTGCCCCGGTCCCATTGCTTAGAGGCGCTGAGGTCTCGCGAGAACTCCGCCCTCTTTCACGCCGCTATCTTCCTCCCTAGCAAAAGGGGAGAAAAAAGAAAGAATAAGGAAACCTCGCGAGAGCTGGCTTCGCTTTCCTTTCTTGCGACCTACCAAACTCTCGCGAGGTCTTAGAGACAAGGGGGCCCAATAAGGCGAAGGAGAGGAGCGGGGTCTCGCCGACATCTCGCGGTATTTCAGGGGAGGAGCCTGGGCAGCCAGCCTCGGAGAGTGTCTCTCCGCCGGGCAGGAGGGCGCCTTGGTGGGCTTCTCTCTCCGTGGAGGGTCGGGAGGGCAGGAAGATGGACCCGGCCGGGACAGGTCAGTGCCCGAGGCCCACGAGGCCTTCCCTTTTCCGTGAAGCCTGCCCTCGAGTAGTCCCCCTCCTCCAGGCCTCTCTCTGTCTCTCCTGGAAGCCCTGCGGCCTACACAGCCAGGCGCCGCCTTCTCCCTTCTGGGCCTTCCTTCAGGGGCTCCCCAGTCTCCTCAGGCCTTCCTTGGGGAAGTTGAATGGGAGATAAAGCGGGGCAGACACAGATAGAATAATAATATAATTTAGTTTGTGTCCAAGGCTTTTAAGGTCGGAATAATAATAATAATAATAATAATTAATCTAATAAATAAATGTTATTGATTAGGCCATTTAACCAAACCAAACCAAAAGGCTTGATCAAACTTGAGCTATGTCCCAGCAGCATTCTCTCCTGACATTTCGCCTGCATCTGAGCCTAGTGGCCTCCCCAGAGGTTCTGTTCATGAGCATTATTATTACAATAATAGCATAGTAATATTAATATGTACATATATATATATATTATTAATAATATATTATATACACTGCAACATGATTTAGTATAATATATAATGCAGTGGTTCTCAACCTTCCTCATGCTGCGACCCCTTAATACAATTCTGCATGTTGTGGTGACCCACAACCATAAAATTATTTTCGTTGCTACTTCATAACTCTAATTTTGCTCTTGTTATGAATGGTAATCTAAATATCTGATATGCAGGATGTATTTTCAGTCACTGGACCAAATTTGGCACAAATACCCAATACTCCCAAATTTGAATACTGGTGAGGTTGGGGGTGATTGATTTTGTCATTTGGTAATGCTGGAGTTGCTGGGATTCATAATTAACCTAAAATCAAAGAGCCTTCTGAACTCTACCAATGATGGAATTGAATCAAACTTGGTACACAGAATTCCCATGACCAAGAGAAAATACTGGGAAGGTCTGGTGGACATTGACCTTGAGTTTTTTGGAGTTGTAGTTCACCTACATCCAGAGAACACTGTGGACTTAAGCAATGATGGATCTGGATCAAACTTGGCACAAATACTCAATATGCCCAAATGTGAACACTGGTAGAGTTTGGGGAAAATAGGCCTTGCCATTTGGGAGTTGTAATTGTTGGAATTTATAGTTCACCCACAATAAAATAGCATTCTGAACCCCACCAATGATAAAATTGCACCAAACTTTCCACACATAGCCCCCATGACCAACAGAAAATACTATGTTTTCTAATGGTCTTTGGCGACCCCTCTGACACCTCCTCGCGACCCCCACAGGGGTCCCGACCCCCAGGTTGAGAAACACTGATATAGACACTACAACATGATTTAGTACAATATATAATGTGATGCTATGATATACTGGTAGTGTATTATATATATTGTGGTATAATATAGTACAATATAATAATATAATTGTCTATTTTAGGCCATATAACCATACCAAACCAAACAAAAAGGCATGATCAAACTTGAGCTATGTCCCAGCAGCATTATCTCCTGACATTTCGCCTGCATCTGAGCCTGATGGCATCCTCAGAGGAGCAAGTTCATGAGCAAGTGGAGTGTATACATTATTATTACAATAATAGCATATATATATATATATATATATATATATTACACTACAACATGATTTAGTACAATATATACTATGATATATTGGTAGTGTATTATATGCTCCTTGATTGTAGATGAATTATAAATCCCAGTAACTACAACTCCCAAATGTCAAGGTCTATTTTCCCCAAACTCCATCTGTGTTTATATTTGGGCATATTGAGTATTCGTGCCAAGTTTGGTCCAGATCCATCATTGTTTGAGTCCACAGTGCTCTCTAGATGTATACAAATGCCGAGTGTATACATTATTATTACAATAATAACATAGTAATTATATCTATCTATCTATCTATCTATCTATATGTATTATACACTACAACATTATTTAGTACAATATATATTACGTTATACTGATAGTGTATTATATATATTGTGGTATAATATAGTACAATATAATAATATAATTGTCTATTTTATATTAATAACTAGCGGTCCCCTGCCACGCGTTGCTGTGGCCCAGTCTGGTGATCTGGAAAATAAAGTAATGAGAAAGTGTTTCTAATATCGGTAATGTCTTTATGTTTGTGGGTAAATAGTATTGTTGCTGTTTCTTTGTCAGTGTTGATGTAGAGATTGTCTGGAACAGGCAACATATCATTGTCCTTCTTTAGGAGTCCCTTTCAAATCTTTGATACTGCATCTTTCATATACATATATGTGTGTGTGTGTGAATGACTGGATGGCCCTTTGTCAGGAGGGCTTTGATTATGTTTTCTTGCCCTGGTGAAGGGAGTTGGACTGATAGCATTTCTCAACCTGGGAAGTCAGAAGGGTCGCTAAAGACACCAGAAAACACAATATTTTCTTCTGGTCATGGGGGTTCTGTGTGGGAAGTCGCTCCTGACACGACCAAAAAAATGGCCGGAATCACTGGGTTGTTGTAGGTTTTTTTTCGGGCTATATGCCCATGTTGTAGAGGCATTCTCTCCTGACATTTTGCCTTTATCTATGGCAAGCATCCACAGAGGTTGTGAGGTCTCACAACCTCTGAGGATGCTTGCCATAGATGCAGGCGAAATATCAGGAGAGAATGCCTCTAAAACAGGGGGTCCTCAAACTAAGGCCCGGGGACTGAATACGCTCAGGGTCAACCTAAGTCTGAAATGACTTGAAAGCACACAACAACAACAACAATCCTATCTCATCAGCCAAAAGCAGGCCCACACTTCCCATTGAAATAATAATAAGTTTATATTTGTTTAAATTGTTCTTCATTTTAATTATTGTATTGTTTTAAAGTTTTTTGCACTACAAATAAGATATGTGCCGTGTGCATAGGAATTCATTCTTTTTTTTTTTTTTCAAATTATAATCTGGCCCTCCAACAGTTTGAGGGACTGTGACCTGACCCTCTGTTTAAAATTTTTGAGGACCCCTGCTCTAGAACATGGCCATATAGCCTGAAAAAACCTACAACAACCCAATTGTGATGGTCATCAGCCAACTTTGTTCCTTCAGCCCTCTTCCCATGTATCTAGGAAATGCACAGATCTAGTTCTTGTTGAAGAATAGGATTGAGGCTAAATATTTGTCATTTCCGTGATTACCAGGGATTAATTATTTATATATTTTCTCTTTTTAAAAAAAACGTTCTGTGCACATTCTGTCTTCTCCCCTTCCATTGCCTATCTGACACCCCTTGAGTCCCTTTGGGGAACTGGGGCGGGTTACAAATAAAGATGATGATGATTATGCCATGTTTTCTGTAGAGAACCTATGTGGTTTTTAAAAGCTGTACGAAAGAACATCCAGTCATCCCTCCTGTTGACTGTGTCAGAAAGCAGGGTAAAGGTGCTTGCTGATTTATAGATTTTCCATGTTATTTTTTTTTTCAAAAGCAAAAAACCATTCTGTTGTTTATTGCCTATCTGACACCCCTTGAGTCCCTTTGGGGAACTGGGGTGGGATACAAATAAAGATGATGATGATTATGGCAAGTTTTCTGTAGAGAACCTATGTGGTTTTTAAAAGCTGTACGAAAGAACATCCAGTCATCCCTCCTGTTGACTGTGTCAGAAAGCAGGGTAAAGGTGCTTGCTGATTTATAGATTTTCCATGTCATTTTTTTTTTCAAAAGCAAAAAACCATTCTGTTGTTTACCATCCATTAGATTCCATGCTCTCCCTCCCATACTTTCTTTAACCTTTTGCCTTTTCTCTCCATTTAATAAAACCTCAAGGATTTTTATGATTAGGAGGCAAAGAAAGATATGAAGGGGCGAGTTGATAGCCCTGTTTGGCAACAGGAGGCGTGTGTGCTCAAGTAAAAGAGGAAATGGAAATAATGTACTTGGCAGTGACACTCTTTCTGTACTAAATTAAAAACCTTCAATGCCACAATGGTACTGATTGTTGGCAGCCGATCATTACTTCTCACTAGCAAAAATTTGAATATTCTTTTCCTAAAAAGACAGTCATTTTTTCTTGGATTCAGTGTCAATGGATACAAGGCAAGGGAGAATTTTAAAGAAAAGCCTCCAAAGCTTGAGAATTCACCTCATTTGTGAATGATTGGGTTTTCGATAAAAGGGAGAACATCACATTCCCTGATATATGAAAAGCAATAGTTTAATTGGGAGTGGAATTCGCGTATATACTCGAGTATAATTTGACCCAAATATACTGTATATACTCAAGTATAAGCCTAGTTTTTCATCCCTTTTTTTAGGCTAAAAAAGTTCCCCTTGGCTTATACTCGTTATTTTTTACTCTATTTATTATTATTATTATTATTATTATTATTATTATTTACTGTATTATTATTATTACCTTATTTTATTGTACTATTATTTTATTACATTTATTATTTTACTCAATTATTTTTATTAAATTTCCATTATTCACTCTATTGTTATTATTGTTGTTACATTTATTATTTTACTCTTTATTATTATTGGAAGGATACGTAAGCACATTGACATTGAAGAATGTTAGAATAATTTTTTCATCAGAGTTGGACAGTCTTATCTTAAATTACAGTTTTATGTAAATATACACAAAAACATTTAACGTACTGATGATTATCAGCAGCAGCTGCATTTCTCACCCTCAACTTATACTCGAGTCAATACATTTTCCCAGTTTCTTGTGGTAAAATTAGGTGCCTCGGCTTATATTTGGGGCGGCTTATACTCGAGTATATATGGTAAGTCTAATTTTACCACAAAAACTTTGGAAAACGTATTGACTTGCGTATAAGCCGAGGATGGGAAATGCAGCAGCCGCTGGTAAATTTCAAAATAAAAATAGATACAAATAAAATTACACTAATTCAGGCATCAGTAGGTTAAGTGTTTCTATAATATTTACAAAAAACTGTAATTTAAGATAAGACTGTCCAACTCTGATTAAACCATTATTCTAAACTTCTTCAATGTAAGTGTGCTTATGTATCCTTCCAATAATAGAGTAAAATAATAAATGTAATAATAATTGAGTAAAATAATGGAAATGTAATAATAACAGTAATATTAAAGTAAAATAATAAATGTAATAATAAAAATAGAGTTAAAATAATTGTAGCAGTAATAATAGAGTAAAATAATAAATGTAATAAAAATAATAGAGTAAAATAATGTGTGTAATAATAATAGAGTAAAATAATAAATGTAATAATAAAATAGTTAAATAATAAATGTAATATTATAATAGAGAAAATAATGTAAATGCAATAATAAACATAATGATAACTACAAGAAAGGAGATTCCATCTGAACATGAGGAAGAACTTCCTGACTGTGAGAGCCGTTCAGCAGTGGAACACTCTGCCCCAGAGTGTGGTGGAGGCTCTTCTTTGGAAGCTTTTAAACAGAGGCTGGATAGCCATCTGTCGGGGGTGCTTTGAATGCGATTTTCCTGCTTCTTAGCAGAATGGTGTTGGACTCGGAGGCCCATGAGGTCTCTTCCAACTCTATGATTCTATTGCTCAAATATATGCCGAGGGGGACATTTGGATAATGATTTAAATCGGTGACCACTATTTATTGTCTGTTTTTATATTGTTTATACGGTTTTATACTGTTTTATATTGTTGTTATTATTACATTGCTGTTAATTGTATATTTATGTTTTGATAAGGGGGCCATGGGGTGCCACTTTGTTAGCCGTCCTGAGTCCCTTTGAGGAGGTTGAGAATGGATGGGATAGAAAAGCCGTAAATAAATAAATAAGAATTAAATTTTCAGCCTGAATAATGGGCTGAAAAATTCGGCTTGTACTCAAGTATATACGGTATTTATATCTTCAAGGTCTATGCTTTCTTAAATATTGTTTCAAAACAAATATTATCCACATTTGCATGTCATTAAATTTTTTTAAATATTACCTCTAAAGTCTAAACCATAAATAATCTGTACTATGTTTAAAGACAACTCGGTGGTTATGGTTGTAAAGAAAATTAATGGCAATATGTATAAGATATAACAAGCCATGTTACTGCCACTTAAACTGTAATCAAAGTGTATAGTTTGTATAATCAAAACTCCCCAGTAATAGTAGGGTTTTCACTTTCCTGTCCTTGATGCTGCCCTTTATAATCAGGGACTATGAAACATAATAGTGACAACTCAGCGGTCTTCTGTCTTTCAATCCACCTAAACCTTGAATTTAATCATTTAAGCCTCGTGGAGCTTGTACATCTGATAAGGAGGGAAAGGAGGAAAAGAAAGAAGCCTGGGTGTGCTCAGGGCCTTTCTTCAGATACATGTGGTCAGGATTACAATTTAGTATTATGACCTCTTTGTAGAGTTCATTCCTGTTTCAGGGTGGAGAAAATCTCCCCAGTTGAAATGCACTGTGGCCTTGTCATCCCTCCAGATGTTGTTGCTTCCAAATGTAGCTATTGTATAATTAAAATTGAGAGTTGAGAGGATTGGAAGGGAATGAATAGGTTTAATCTATTACAAAGTAGCTCATGACAAGGGATAGTAAATTGCACTCAGCTACTCTACTTTGTATTTAGAATTGACCCATACAATTCTAGTACAGTGCTGTCGTTGTTTAGTGAATATTTACCTGTTATATTGTACTGACATAATTTGGGCTGTGTAAAACCACAATCTCATGTACTCTCGGTCATTTGTAAGTCTTAACAGTTGCATTATCACGTAATGCAGCATTACTCAACCTAGGGGTTGGGACCCCTGGGGAAGCCGGTCGTAAGGTGGTTTCAGAGGGGTCGCCAAAGACATATATTTCAGACTAGCCATCCCCTGCCACACGTTGCTGTGACCTAATCTATTGATCTGGAAAATAAAGTAACGAGAAAGCATTGGTTTCTAATATATGTAATTTCTTTGTGCTTGTGGTTAAACAGTATTTCTTGTTGTTTCTTTGTCAGTGTTGATGTGGAGAGTGTCTGGTTTGCCCACCCTGGAACATGCAACATATCATTGTCCTTCTTTAAGGGTCCCTTTCAAATCTATGATACTATATCTCTGTGTGTGAGAATCATATCTATATCTGGATGGCTCTTTGTCAGGAGGGCTTTGATTACATTTTCTTGTCCTGGTGAAGGGAGCTGGAGTGCATGGTCTTGAGTATTTTCTATTGGTCATGGGGGTTTTGTGTGGGAAGTTTGCCCCAATTCTGTCATTGGTGGGGTTCAGAACACCCTTTGATTGTAGGTGAACTATAAATCCCAGTAAATACAACTTCCAAATGTCAAGGTCTATTTTCCCCAAACTCCATCTGTGTTCATATTTGGGCATATGGAATATTCGTGCCAAGTTTGGTCCAGATCCATCATTCTTTGAGTCCATGGTGCTCTCTGGATATAGGTGAACTACAACTCCCAAACTCAAGGTCAATGCTCACCAAACCCTTCTGGTGTTTTCTGTTGGTCATGGGAGTCCTGTATGACCCGTTTGGTTCAATGCTATCATGCTATTTGATTGTAGGTGAACTATAAATCCCAGAGACTACAACTCCCAAAAGACAAAATCATTTTTTTTTTAGTGTTAGGCCCTTCTCTTCCTTTTTGGAATCAGACGGCACATCCTCCAACCAAAAGCCCTCCTCCGTTGTGATTGGCCGGCCTCTCAGCCAAGGGGAGGACTGTTTCTGACACAAGAGGGGAGAGGAGAGCAGGCGTGCTTGGCACATGACAGTGTGGTACGCATGTGCAGCCAAGGGAGAGGTTGCAAGGCTGGAGGGAGGATCATGCCAGTGAGCCCCTTCAAGGCATGGGGGTTCTGTGTGGGAAGTTTGGCCCAATTTTATCATTGGTGGGGTTCAGAATGCTCTCTTATTGTAGGTGAACTATAAATCCCAGCAATACACCTCCCAAATGTCAGGCTCTATTTTCCCCAAACTCCACCAGTGTTCACATTTGGGCATATTGAGTATTTGTGCCAAGTTTGGTCCAGATCTGTCACTGTTTGAGTCTACAGTGCTCTCTGGATGTAGGTGAGCTACAACTCCAAAACTCGAGGTCAATTCCCACCGTGGGAGTTCTGTGTACCAAGTTTGGTTCAATTCCATCATTGGTGGAGTTAAGAATGCTCTTTGATTGTATTATTATTGTATTTATTTATTATTTGAAACATTTATATTCTGTCCTTCTCACCCCGAAGGGGACTCAGGGCGGAGCACAGCATATATAAGGCAAACATTCAATGCCAGGACACAAATTCATATACACATACATAAACATTAAAAGCATTTATCTCAATATTAAAATACACCATTTAAACCCTCCTGGTCATCAGCGTCAAATCTCATTGTCCTGGTAATCTTTCCTATTGCTGCTTTATTGCCGTGTCCCGAAAGCTTGGTCCCACAGCCAAATTTTTACCATCCTTCTAAAGGACAAGAGGGAGGGGGCTGACCTGATCTCACCAGGAAGGGAGTTCCATAGCCCCGGGGGGGGGGGGGGCATCACCGAGAAGGCTCTGTCTCTCGTCCCCACCAATCGCTCCTGTGACAATGGCGGGATGGAAAGCAGGGCCTCCCTGGAGGATCTTAATCTCCGCAATGGTTCATAGGGAGAAATGCATTCAGAAGGTGTACTATAAATCCCTGCAACTGGGGTCTGGGGGTCATCACAACATAAGGAACTGTATTAATGGGTTGTGGCATTAGGAAGGTTGAGAAACACTGACCAAATGGGAACCTGGGTTTCTAGGATTACCACAAACCCAGAGCAGTTGGAATCAGAATTGTTTAACTTCACTTTGTATCAATATATGTGAATATGGTTTGTGTGCGGGCTTGCAATCCTGGCTTTTCTTGAGAGCAACAAAGCGAGATCCAGGGTTCTACAAAATGCATCAATTACTGGATTATTTTAATTCTCTTATGAGCTGTTATTTATCTGCATGACTTGCCTTTCAGACCGCCTGTTCCAAAATTTAATTGAAACATTGGATGAAAACACAGACAAGAGGTTCTACAATATTGCTAAACTAGGAGGCACCAAATACGGTAACAATTACTTTTCCATTGCTTTTTCATGTCTTTCTTATATGTGTGACCTCTGTGTTATAAAATGTGTTGTGGGTTAGTGTGGACTTCTGTGTTTGTGAGAAATACCGTTCAAAGCGATGGTCTGTGCAATGTATGTTGTGTAGCAATTTTAATCCAAGACTGGTTGTATCATTTTCATGTGTGAAGCTTGTAATTTAAGTCACAACTTGGACCAGTAATTCCCAAAGTTTGGTCCTCTAGGTGTTTTGGGCTTAAACTCCCAGAAGCCCTAGCTGACTTGGCCAGCAATCAGGAATTCTGGGAACTACAGTCAAACACATTGGGACAACCTAGTTGGTGCAGAGAAGCAATCCACAATCATGTGGGCTTTGTCTTCTTTTGCCAGTGTTAGAAGCCCCATTGTGTGTTTTGACACTTTGATGTCTCATTTTCCTCCTGTTCTGCCTTGTTAGCTACAGAGTTCATATCTGAAATGTATACAAATCAGTGCACTCAGTTTGATATGCTTCAGAGATCCATTACAGTGCTGCCTAGTTATGGCCCAAGGCTAGTCAGTTGCCCTGCGACTGTGACTCATGGAGCAAGAGTGGGAGAGCGGGGCCTTTTAATAAATACACACCGTCTGGTTTCCATCTGCCAGAACCCATGAGGTTAACAATCATGTTTGCTAAGCAGCTCTTGTTAGTTTTAGAAGAACATAATCAAAACAATGTTTGGTGAGCTGTAGCTTCTGTCTTTTGTCTGTTTTGTACCATGGAGCAGAATTAGGCTGTAAGCCTAGACACATTTCCCATGGAGTAAGGCTGGTCGAATACAGTCGGGCCTATGTGTGAGAAACTATAGGTTCTCATGATTGAATTGTAGCCATGAAGAAATCCACTAGTACAGTGGTTCCCAACCTTTTTTTGACCAGGGACCACTCTCTAACTTTAGTACCAAAAGGGTTACGAATCAGTTTTTAGTCAACTTTAGATTTGGTTTGGTTATTTGGGGTTCTGATTCAGAAATTTGCATTGGATAGACCACATCAGCTCTAGTTTCTGATACAGAGCATGTACAGAGCATGGGATATGGAATATGAGAGCATGCGCCATCCAGTAGTTGCCGTCTGCTCGCCCACAGAAAATCATATTTAATAATCTAGAGCTTTATTTATTGTGTCAGGCAATCGAAGAGTTGTATTACATTTTTGACAGAACAAACAACCAAACATACAAAAGACACAGAGTTTGCAAGCCTGGTAGTTGATTAAATGTTCTTTGACCAGTATCTGGCCACTTGGAGTGCTTCTGGTGTTGCCGCAAGAAGGTCCTCCATTGTGCATGTGGCAGGGCTCAGGTTGCATTGCAGCAGGTGGTCAGTGGTTTGCTCTTCTCCACACTCGCATGTCGTGGATTCCACTTTGTAGCCCCATTTCTTAAGATTGGCTCTGCATCTCGTGGTGCCAGAGCGCAGTCTGTTCAGCGCCTTCCAAGTCGCCCAGTCCTTTCTGTGCCCAGCGGGGAGTCTCTCATTTGGTATCAGCCATTGGTTGAGGTTCTGGGTTTGAGCCTGCCACTTTTGGATTCTCGCTTTGGGTGTTCCAGCGAGTGTCTCTGTAGATCTTAGAAAACTATTTCTTGATTTAAGTCGTTGACATGCTGGCTGATTGATGCCCAAACAAGGGATGGGCTGGAGATGTCACTGCCTTGGTCCTTTCACTATTGGCTGCTACTTCCTGGCGGATGTCAGGTGGTGCAATACCGGCTAAGCAGTGTAATTTCTCCAGTGGTGTAGGGCGCAGACACCCCGTGATAATGCCGCATGCCGCAATCTAGAGCTGATGTGGTAGTAGTAATAATATAATATAAAACTTTATTTATATACTGCTCTATCTCCCCGAGGGGACAGAGCGGTTCCCAGGTAACATCACAAAGCATACAAAGTAAAAACAACATAACCATAACATTAACAAAACAAAATATAAGCATAAAATTGTCACCATAACACACATATATTAAAAGTAATCCTGCCTGCTCAAGGCAATTAAAAAATTTAAAAGGCTGGGCCAATATTTGTGCAAGCTCAAAAATTCTAGGGAATTAAGTGTAGTGCTATGGCAGGCAACAGTGATATTAGGTACGGGTCTGTGGCTGTTCATTCCGGGGGGTAGTAATCTTTTGTAGGTAGTCAGCCTCTTCTCTCCCCTGCTCGACACTATCAGAGGGTTTTGTGAGACCAGTCGCTCTCATTGCTGCATGGTTTCAAGGCAACGATGTAGTAATGGTGAGGCTGCGGACCATATTTCCGTTCTTGCCGATCATTGATGATTCCTGGACCACAGGTTGGGAACAACTGCACTAGTAGGACTAGTATCTGAGTAAACAGAAGGATTGTATATTTAGTTAACTGTCTTACCGACAGTAAAATTCTAGGCAGAAAAGAAATAATTAAATTAGGTTTTGATTAATCTAAATCAGTGCTTTTTAACCTGTGGACCGCGGACCACCAGTGGGCTGTGAGGACGAAAATCCGGTCTGTGAACCTCCTTCCTCTTAATTTATTTATTTTATTTATTATATTTCTGCTCCTTTCGCACCGTCTGCCACTCATTCCCTGTCACTGACCAGCCCCGACCCCTTGGATAGACCACATCAGCTCTAGATTATTAAATACGGTTTCCTGTGGGCAAGCAGATGGTAACTACTGGATGGCATATGTTCTGTATCAGAAACTAAAGCTGATGTGGTCTACCCAATGCAGTTTTCTGAATCAATACCCCAAACAACCAAACTAAAACTAAAACTGGTTCGTAACTTTTTGGTACTAATGTTGAAGAGTGGTCTCTGGTCAAAAAATGGTTGGGAACCACTAATCTAAATTGATGTTTTCATTCATTTGGCTCATTTAAAGTCCTGAAACAATGTTCAGAATGCAGGGTTTGTGAATGTGGCTTAATCTTATAAGTCTCTTTTATAAGCTATTCCTGGATAAGCAGCTTCGAATGAAATGCCTGAATAATAGGGAAGGATCGGCACAAGTTCCCCACCGAAAAGCTTTCTTTTCCCTTCAGGCCTACCAGATCTCCAGTATCTCTGTTGTTCAATTGACATACCTATATGATGCTGTTACTTTGCTAGAAGTTTCTAGAGTGCATTCTATTTTTTTCAAAGCAATGCTCTGTGTTTTTAATAAGATGTCGTGGTGAATTTGTTGGAATTTACTACCCAGCAAGCGTAGAATTGCAGCCTTAGTTTTATCAGTTTCTTCAGCCTGGTTGCTGGTGGCTTGCAGCTGTTATCGTAGATACAAGAATGCAAACAGTTTTTGCCATTCATGGCTTTCGAAAGGCAGATTTATCAACATACGGAAATGTCTCTGATGGAGTACCACCGTATAATGGGTCCTTTTGAGGCTAAATCTAGACAGGCTCAGTAATGAGCTCTTACTCGAACCAAGTCCTGCTGGAACACACAACATTGCTCTCCTTCTAATGTGGGGCTTTACAACAATTAAAAAAACTGCACTTTACTCTGCTCAGTTTGGGAATATTTGTGTTTTTAAAATTTAGTATTTGATCCCCAAACCGATATTGCACCAACCATCTCCGACTGCTATGGGGAGATCACACCTCTCTTGCATTATTCTTCTCTTGCTTCCGCCAAAAACTATTTCCTGGCCCTAAACCAAAAGTGCATTCCCAGTCCTGTTTCCTAAACCAGAAATGACTTCCTTGTTTAGTTTTGAGAAGAAGGGCTGATGTGGTCATCAGAAGTTATTTAATGGAATAATGGACTCCAAATGGCCAGAAATTTCCCAGTTCGTGATATGTTTTGTGGATATAAATATTGAAAAACAGAAAGATCAAGTTGTGGACAACTTGTCAAATGGAAAACCTTGAATATAATTTTAGAATCCCTTTTTGTTCAACAATCCTGCATGAAATCAAGAAGTACTGATAATTTCATATGGTGCTCGGTGGCTGGGTCATAAGTGAATGTCTATTTAGTAGCCTTTGGATGAATCGCTTAATGAGGGAGCAGTGGCACCACCTGCCTTGTAAAACACAACCACCATATATACTCAACCTGAATATAAGCTGAGGCAGCTAATTTTACCACAAAAAACTGGGAAAACATATTGACTCGAATATAAGCCGAGGGTGGAAAATGCAGCAGCTATGGGTAAATTTCCAAATAAAAATAGATTTGAATAAAATTGCATTAATTGAGCATAAGTGGGTTAAATGTTTTTTAATATTTTCATAAAACTGTAATTTAAGATAAGACTATCCACTCTGATTAAATCATTATTCTAACCTCCTTCAATGTAAATGTGCTTATTTATCCTTCGTAATAATAGAATAAAATAATAAACTGGATAGTAATACAGATAAACTTCTTTTCCTAGCTAAAACGGCTGCAAGAATGTGTTATGCGAAAATATGGAGAAAAACGGAAATACCAAAAATAGAGGATTGGAATTAAAAAATTATAGATATAAGAAATATGGATAGATTAATTTACTTGATATTTAAAGAAATGAAAAAAGAAAAAACAGACTGGACATTGATAACCGAATATTTAAAGTAAAAATAGGAATAAAAAGAGAAGGAAATAAATCACCTACCACTTATTAGAAAACAAAGAAGGGGAGAAGAAAAGAGAAGAAGAAAGGAAATAGAGGATGGGAGGAGGAAAGAAGGAAAAGGAAAACCCTCCAGGAAGAAGCTCGGAAGTGAAACCTCCTTTTTAAACATATGCACACCTTTTTTTCTCTCCCCTCTTTTTCCATCATCCCCTCCCACTCCCCATTTGTAAATACTTAATAAAGATTATTTAATAAAAAATGTAAATGTGCTTACATAGCCTTCCAATAATAGTAAAGAGAATAAAATAGTAAAGGTAATAAAATAATAATAATTGAGTGAAATAATGGAAATGTAATAATAACTGCAATAATAGAGTAAAATAATAAATGTAATGATAACTAGAATAGAGTAAAATAACAAATATAATAATACTAGAACAAAATAATAACTGCAATAATAATAATAAATATAGTAAAATAATAAATGTAATAATAGTAGAGTGAAATAATAAATATAATAATAACAATAATAAATAGAGAAAATAATGTAATGAACTAATAATAGAGTAAAATCATCTGGAGAGGCCCTGCTCACTCTCCCAGCTCCTTCACAGGCGCAATTGGTGGGGACGAGGGAGAGGGCCTTCTCGGTGGTTGCCCCTCGACCCTGGAATTCACTGCCTAAGGACATCAGACATGCCCCAATGCTGTCAGTCTTTAGGAGAAGCCTGAAAACGTGGTTGTTCCAGTGTGCCTTCCCAGAATAAGGAAAACTCTTAGCAATATGTCCTCAAATGCACTTTAATATTGACTTAGGATTGTCTGTGCACCCTCATCTTTCTCTGAAAACCCTCTCCTAATTTGCCTTACCTTGTTCATGCCCAGCATTTTTAATTTTTTCATTTTAAATTTGAATTATTACATTTGGCCCGGTCTTAGGTTTTTAAATGCTGTATGTTTTGATATTGTTATTGCTTATTGTGTATTTTCTGTTTTGAGTTTATTTTAACTGTTTTGTATTGATTATTGTTATTGCTTTTGTTTTGATGTGCTGTGGGCTTGGCCTCATGTAAGCTGCACCGAGACCCTTGGGGAGATGGGTAGCGGGGTACAAATAAAGTATTATTATTATTGTTGTTATAAATGTAATAATAGAGTTAAACCATAAATGTAATAATAATAAAAATAATAACAGAGTAAAATAATAAATAACTGAAGTATTAGCCGAGGAGGGCTTTTCTTAGCCTTAAAAAAGGGCTGAAAAACTCAGCTTATAGTTGAGTATATATGGTACATTTGCTGAATCATAAGTGAATTTCCGTTTAGTAGCCTTTGGATGAATCACTTCATAAAGGAGTAATGACACAACCTGCCTTGTAAAACACAACTAATTTAAAGCAAACCAGCACACCCTGGAGCAGCATTTTGTGCTCTTCAGAGTTGAAAGGCGAGTGTGCAGACTTGTTAAATGTAGTAAGTAGTGTTTGCCACTTCACTGGGTTGCTTTATTGCTTCCTGTCATGAATTATTGTTGAATAGAATCACTACTCGGTCTGAGTTGGTGGTGGTTTGAGCATGTAGGTAAGATACCTGTACGTAGGGCACCTTTCCTTAACCAGTCCTATTCCTTGTCTTTGCTCAGATATCCTGCCTTATTCCATACGGGTTCTATTGGAAGCTGCGGTCCGTAACTGTGATGGCTTCCTTATAAAAGAAGAAGATGCCATGAACATTTTGAATTGGAAAACAAAGCAGAACCATGTTGAAGTGCCCTTCTGTCCTGCCAGAGTCCTCCTCCAAGACTTTACGTAAGGCACATGGTTCTTATTTTATGTTTCATCTCTCTCTAATTAATTCCAACAGCATGGGCATGAGCTCAATGTTCAGGGTGGAGACTCCACGGGGAGTATTAAATAGTCAGGCATTCAACTATTCATGTAAGTTTACTCTGGCAATGACTTTACCTAAGCAAAAGTTACTGAAATACTAGAGTGACTTAATGCTGCTCTGAAGGAGTCTCAGGGTGCCGAAGCACATTGCGGAAGATTGAGATCTATGTGCTAACATTCCCACACAATATTAATTGTATTGTGTCACCCTTTGCACATATATGTAAGCATAACAAAATGCCTCATACTGAGTCAGTGCATGGGTCAGTCCAGTTGATGTCATGTGAGCCATGGCACTATAGAAATACACATGTTCTGTGTAATATCTACTGCAGTGTAAATAATCAGAACATACAAACTTTGTGTGTGCAGGCACCATGATATTCAGAAACCCCAGACAGCATGGCCATTGCTAACTAGAGTTAGCTGTGATTTGTCATTTTTCCAAGCTGTGATTGGTACAATATAAGATGCCTCTCCTTGGTTTGACACTATTGATTAAAGACTGGCTTGGGTACCCAGCATCACAGAGATTGCTAGAAGATGTCATTTTTTATTTTACAAAATGCATGAGGTTGTGGGTAAACTACAACTCACATGCCAGATTAACTCCCTGAAACTCTCTCAGGACTTAAGGTTTGTCACGCTGGGCAAGTTTATTGTAGATGTGTCATTGGTGGGGTTCAGTGTGCTCTCTGGCTGTAGGGTAAACTACAACTCCCACCATGGTGGGTCAGTCCCCTCAAAATGCTCCAGCAGTTTGAGTTAGTCATGTGGGTTCTGTGTGCCAAGTTATGTCCAGGTCCATCATCAGTGAGGTTTGGAATGCTCTTTGATTGCAGGTGAACTATAAATCCCGGTACTTAAATCCTGGTACCTACAACTAACAAATATCAAGGCCAATTCCACCCCAAATCCACCAGTATTCAAATTTGGGCATATTGGATATGCATGCCAAATTTGGTGCAGATCCATTGTTGTTTGCGTTCACAGTGCTCTCTGGATGTAGGTGAACTATAATTCCTATAAATCAGGTGAATTTCCCTCAAAGCCCTCCTGTATTTTTGTTAGTATGTATGCCAAGTTAGATCCAGACCCATCGTTGGTGAGGTCCAGAGTGCTCTTTGATTGCAGATGAATTATAAATCCCGGTACCTACAACTAACAAATATCAAGGCCAATTCCACCCCAATCCACAAGTATTCAAATTTGGGCATATTGGGTATGCATGCCAAATTTGGTGCAGATCCATCATTGTTTGTATTCACAGTACTCTCTGGATGTAGGTGAACTATAATTCTATAAAATATAAATCAAGGTGAATTTTCCCCAAAGCCCTCCTGTATTATTATTATTGTTGTTGTTGTTGTTGTTGTTGTTGTTGTTGTTGTTGTTTTGGTTATGGGGGTTCTGTGTGTCAAGTTAGGTCCAGGACCATTGTTGGTGGGGTTCAGAGTGGTCTTTGATTGCAGGTGAACTATAAATCCCAAAGCCTACAATGCCAATAAATCAAGGTGAATTCCCCCCAAAACTCTTCAGTATTTTCTTCAGTCATGGGGATTCTGTGTACCAAATGTGGCCCAGGTCCGTTGTCAGTGGGGGTCACAGTGCTCTGACTTGATGCAGGGTAAACTACAACTTCCATCCTGTGGAGTCAGTCCCCCAAACTCCTCCAGTATGTTTAGTTGCTGCTGAGTTCTGCTCTGTTTGTTGTGCAGACAGAGTTGAAAAGAGTAGGAAAGGGTTAAGGGAGAGGCAGTGGGTGGGATCATGCAAATTCCACACTAGTGGAGAGAGTCAGAAACACTGGGATGTTTCTGTGATGGAGGAAACACGTAAAATTCAGGATGAAGTTGTCCCCAATGAAAGCATTCCTTGGGTGGTGGGTTGTAGTGTTTGGGGAGGACAATGGCAGGGGTTGGGCTACATGTTCATGGCGCTTGCTATAACCTGAAATGTCATTGGAGGGAGGGCTTTTGATGGCTCCTCAACACTGTGGGTTGAAGCTGTTCGTGGAAGCAGGAGCCTTTCTGTGGACACGGGCACCCAAGCCACACACACAATACACGTTTTCACTTTTATTATGGGTATAGATGTGAATGTTGTTCTCTTTTGTCAGTGGAATTCCTGCCATGGTGGATTTTGCTGCTATGAGGGAAGCTGTGAAAAATCTGGGAGGAGATCCTACCAAAGTCCATCCTGCCTGTCTGACAGATCTCACCGTTGATCATTCTTTGCAGATTGACTTCAATAAATGGTACATATTATGAAGTTCATTTGATTTTTGCTATGCTTTGGAGGAAATGGAGCTGCATCTATATAAATAAAAATGTAATGTTGGTTTGTGGGATTAACATAACTCAAAACCCACTGGACGAATTGACACGAAATTTGGACACAAGACTCCTAACAGTCCAACGTGTGTCCATCACCCCTAAAAACACACACACACACACACACACACACAAAACCCCCTTTAGAGCAGACTTAAAACCCCCCAAAATACACCATATATACATATACACATATATACATATACACATGCACACATTCGTATATATGTGCACAAAAATACACAAATATACACTTATACATACACCTATATATACACATGCACACATATATACATATAGACATACATACACACACATATATGCACACATATATACACATATACACATACATACACACACACATATGCATATAGACAAGCAGTATTCCTGTAATAGTCAGGTCATATGTTGAGGTGCTGAGCTGGACCCAGAATATTGTTTTATTGTTTTAATGATTGTTTTATTGCTCATGGATGTATTTTTTAATTTTATTTATGTCTAATTGTAGTGTATAATTGTAATTGTTTGTACTGACATTGAATTTTTGGCATTACTTATGTGTAAACTGCTTTGAGTCGCCCTCGGGGTGACAAAATCATTTTTTGTTGAGTGAAGAACATACATTGGGTTGTTTGGTGTCTTGTGTCCAAATTTGGTGTCAATTCGTCCAGTGGTTTTTGAGTTCTGTTAATCCCACAAACAAACATTACATTTTTATTTATATAGATACTAGCTTGGGTACCCGGCGCTGCCCGGGTTATTTTAAAAGGGTATTGTTTGTTTTTGGATTAGAGAAAGGAATTGTATATCAAGGTTGGTCTTTATCAGTTATTTATATGGCTCGCAGTGGTCTCAGGAAGTTAGTGAAGGTACTGTGAGTCCCATCGTCTGTGGTCCATCGTCCTCCAAACTGCACCAGGATGGAGAGAGGGTCATGGAGGCTCTGTGTGCTAAGTTTGGTCTTGATCAGTCATTGGATGAGGGTCACAGCAGTCTCAGAAAGTGAGTTAAGGTACTGCAAGTCCCATCATCCATAGTCTCCCTCAAACATCACCAGCGCATCATGGAGACCCGGTGTGCCAAGTTTGGTCCTTATCGGAAATTGGATGATGGTTGCAGTGGTCTAAGGAATTGAGCGAAGATACTGCAAGTCCCATAATCCATGCTCGATCCACAGTCAAACCACACCATGGCGTAAAGTGGGTCATGAGAGGTCTATGTGCCAAGTTTGGTGTTGTTCAGTCATTGTTGAGAATCGCAGCAGTCTCGGAAAGCGAGTAGAGGTACTTCAAGTCCCATCATCCATGGTATGCCCTACTCCAAACCG